TTAAGGTGGAAGGCACTCAGGCGTCGGTAAGGCATGCATTATTCTTCTTAGTCTTCTCCCCATTATCTTCAACAGCTTGCAGTTACACAATCTTCATATCTTCTTCCAAACCTTGTTTCAACTCTCGACAATCCATAATAGGAGATAAATCCATAACCATAACAGGAGCACAAAAGAAATATATACAAAAACAAATATACAAAACAAGCAAAATAGAACCGTATAATATGGTTGTTGGCCTCAACATAAACTATCAACGCTAAACAAGACAAGAAAATTAAACACAAATGAATTTCCCATGAAAAAATCATAATGAAAAATCTCGAAATGATTGGTTCGGTTCTTTCTTTCTTTTTTTTTTTTTAACTAGAAAGCAGCATGAATATGTACAAAGACTCAACTTAACTCTTAATTATGGGCGGGGCTCGTTTGGTTATGATTAGTTTGGGTGAGACCCATGGGCAAAACCCATTTGGTTAGGTTATCTTTGGTAACCGGACCATTCAGACATTCGAGGATATGTCACGGGCATGTAGTGTTGGCCATGAGTCTCCAGGCCAGTTGGCAAGATCAGTGTGTTCTGTCACCTTAGCATTATGGTGGATTAGATGGTGTCACTGTGAATCGTGAATCGGTGAGTGTATGACTCGTGTGGTTGGGACCCGATAGTCATATAATTAAGGCTCTATGGTGTCAGACCGATAACATTTGGCATGGTTAGGTGTTAGAATATTTTGGGGGTTTAGAGGCTCAGTGACTAGCTAGTTTGGATTATGCGAATAGTAAAAGTTTGTTTTGGGATGGAAGTCTTAGTTGTGTAATGGAGGTCATTTGTGGAACATTCGCATTTGTGAACCCCCTGGTTTGCTTGTAGGACATTTATTAGGAGTTTGGTTCCCAATGTTAGGTATTGATTCTTAAACTTCAGGTCATGAAGTTTGTGGTAAATGCCTGAAAGGATTTTCCAAATGGCTATATACCTAAGCTAAGATAGGATTTGGATGCAACACGAGATTCTTGGATTGATCATTATTACACTCGTGGGAGTGGTGGGTTAGTGATGACATATAAAGGGTTCAAGTGCGTATTTAGGTCCTTTGGGCATGATTTCCATAATTGAGATTGGTTGAAATTCATGAACGAGATGTTTTGGGTATTCATTAAGCATGGTTTGGTGGTGATCATAGTCATAGACTAGGGGTAAGTACGACAAACGGATGATCATTTGTCTCAGAGTGTGGTTTCTATAGTTTAGACTTATGGGTTCCTAGTTTTACTAGTATATTATTGGAATTGGGTTGTAATTCCAGTTTTGAGAGTTTCCCCGATTCGAATGGTTTTCATTGTATATTGGGTCTTATAGTTAGGGAAAGGAGATAGATATTCAGTTGAGTGTTTTCAAGTTGTTAAGTTGTTGTTGGTAGTTATAGGGTTAAGGGTGGTATCTCGAGTTTCTTTATGGACACCTTGAATTTGAATTAGTTGGAGGGAGCTTATGTAATTCGTTTTTGTTGTTACTAGATATTCCGACCAATACAGATTTTGAGGACGAAATTCAGTTCAAGCAGGGGGGAGTTGTAATACCCTGTTCCGGGACATTTCTTAATTCAGTATTATGGACCGTAATTCGATCATGTAAAGGCTTTGGGCCCTAAGGAAATAAATTTTAGACCTTATTAAATGTTGATAATATTGGTTGCTAGACCTAAGCCATTGAGTTGTGTGTCGGAACCAAAGGGTAAAATGGGAAAAATTAAATGCCAGACATCTTGCATGGATTATGGTTTTAGTTTGACATGTGTTAAGCCAAAAGTAACTAGATAAGATTGTGGGGCTTGTTAATACCTTTCAGTGCATATAAAGAATGCGAAAAACATAGTTGAAATGAAGAAGTTATGGTTGTTTGAAATTGAATTGGAAATTGGGAATTTGCCCTATGTTAGGTATAGGTGCTGAATTTTGGATGCGAATTTAATGACCTATGCTGAGCGTAGCCATTGTAGACCAAAACCCTAACCCTAAGGTTTTGAGCCATATTTAAGGGCTCTAACTTCTTAGAATCCTTCCTATGAACAGCCTCCATCACCTTATATCGTTCCTTTGAAACCCTAGCCACCAAATGTGAGTTTTGGAGCTTTTAGAGAGTTTTGTGTGCTCTTTGAAGGAGGAAAGTGTTTGTAGAATCAAGTAAGAAGCTTCAAGGTGTGTAGATTTAGGATTTGCAAGCCAACATCTATCTTTGGAAGGTATAAAGCTTCCATCATGATCTTGTACATGTTATATCTAGTATGGTTATGAGTTTTATGCTTTTGTCTCCATAATCTTGGTCCTTGTGAGTATGGGTTACTCCAGACCATTTGAATGCCTCATTTTGTTGTTTTTGAGGTTATAGAGTCATAAAAATGAGAGCTTGGGCTCTCTCATCCATCTATGCATGAGTTCTTGAGTAAAAGGTGACAATATGGACTTAGAGTTTGATTTTGTGCTCTTCTTGGCCATGCAAAGGGATAAAGCCAGAGACTTTATCCATTAAGACATTAATTTAGACCAGATCTAAGAGCATGAGAGTTTGGCTTGCTGTATTAAGAGCTTAATAGAAGTTTTTAGGATCAGGGGCTCTACGAAGGGCGTAGCGCTCTGTACGCTGAGCATAGCTCTATGTTGGGCATAAACTTCTGTATGTTGAGCATAGCTCTATGCTGGGCGTAAACTTCTGTACACTGAGTGTAGCTCAACGTTGGGCATAGATTCGCATGCTATGTTGAGCGTAAGTCAACTGAGGGTTAACCATTGACCTTTTGGCCGTTTTGACTTTTGGTCAACCAACTTGGGACTTAGTATTGGAAGGGTAAAATGGTCTTTTGCTCAACGGAGGTTTAATTGTAAACCTAGACCTTTCGTGAGTTAGTCATTACCTTAATTGTTAATTAGGTTTTTATTATGGATATGTTTAGTAGAGGAGACTTGATATCGTCGGCTCGAGTGAGTGGTTTATCTTGTTTTTAGGGTTGATGTGAGTATTCTCACTATACTATGTATGATGTTAGTTGTCTTTGTGACTCTTGTATGTGTATGTTGGGATGGGCCCATTTGCTTATTGGACTGGCCCCATTTACATGTATGTTGGATTGGGCCCATCTATATGTATGTTAGATTTGGCTCATTTGTATGTTGAGTTGAGACCATATGTATGGTATATGGTATTTTAGGAAACTCACTAAGCTTCGTGTTTATGGTTTAATATTTTTCAGGTACTTCCAGTTCCCAAGAAAAGTGCTCGGCTTGAATGCGCAACATCCTCTGATATTGTGTCAAGTGTAAAACATATGAAATAGGTGGTGTCGTGTTAGTGTCCAAAATTCGACATAGAATTAACATGATATTGACACAAATAGTTGCTTTATGTGATTTTTGTCGTGTTCATACGATCAAAAATGAATTAAGAAAACTAATAGCTATTTTGTGTTATTTTTTTTTATTGTATTTGTCATGTTTTTGTTCTTATCATGTTAGTAAAATAACAAAACATCATGTATTTTCATGTTCCTTTTATATAAAAAGAAAATATTTTCATTTCTGATAAAAAACGATGCGAGTATACTATTTGACACCTCTAATTCCAACAATATGGTTCTAAAAGATTTTCAAATTTTCATCTAGATTAATTAACCAAAATAGTAGGTTTTTTTTTATTATTTAATTTTTGTATGAAAAAAATGATGAGTAGAAATCATTGACATGACGTGATTTTAATATATATTTATTTTACTATTTTATTATATATTTAAAATAGTTAAAATGTTTATATCAACTTAATGTAATAATAATAATTATTCAATAACTAAAGACAACGATATCAAAATTTTTGATAGTATATATTTTTATATAAACTATATAATTATAGTTTTATATTTTAACTATATTATTATTATTTTTATTTCAACTATATAATTATAGTTTTTATTATTTTAACCATATTATAATATTTTATATAATTATATTTTATATAAAGCACTAACATTTGATTTCACCTACTTTTAACATGTATTGAGAATTAGATCCCATCAATTTTGTCACATCTGTCGCATTTAGGTAAATAATGTCATGTGCTCAAATAACATCCGAAAACTACGGTCTACAACCGGCATTATGCCAAAACATTACCTAAATGGGCCAACCCAACCCATCAAAGGAGATGAAAAATTTCTGATCTTAAGACAATCAATTATTTGAATCTCTATCCATTATGCTTCAACGATCACAATCATTATATTTAAATTTTTAAGAAATGGTTAGGCCCGGTCCAAAAGGGGTTTATGTTTCTATTCGAGTGTAATTTCAAAAATATTAGTATTTTTTTCATTTTTGTTTACTTTTTAATTTTTCTTAATTTTTTTATTTTAAATATATCTAACTTTTCTCCGTTTCTTTTTTATTTCACATTATATATACATACTAATTTTAAAGTGCCACTTGAACAGTACTCTTCTGTGATATGCTGATTTTTTTTTGTTTTTTTTTCTTCCTTTTTTCTTTTACAAGATTAGTGTCCTCGACACCGATTCTATTACCTAATAAAAATTGGATTGGTGGCCATCGGCTCTTAACCCGATATCCTACCGCCGATCGATTGATATCACTCCCGATTCATTGTTTTCTTCTCCATTTGTTCATTGTTTTCTCTATCTCTATCTTTACCGCATCTGTCTTCAATCAACCTCCGTCCTCCTCTATCTTCCCGAATTCCATCTTTGTATATTTCACTTCCCTTCTCTCTATACTGAAGCACTGCTATTGGTAGCATCCCACCACCTCACGATGTCAGTCCACTTCTTCATCTTCACCGTCATTGCTTTATTTTAATCGGTGATGTGTTGTTGCCAGCGACAATAGATTCGCTCCACTGAATCAACATGTGAGCTTTGAATAATTTTTTCTTTTACAGTTTTACATCAATATTCCTTTCCAAGTCAAATGTAGAGAAGAATAGTGAACAGTTTATGGAGATCAACCTAGAACTCGGTAATGTAAATTTGTGATTGAGATGCCAACACAATTTATCTTTCTTCTGTTTACCCTAATCATATATTCTTTAAAATAAAATTTCATACTCAAATAACCCAAGGCCAGTTATTGGATTTGTGACTGGTGGAGCATGGATCATAGGCAAGGAAGAAATATATAATCTTTTTAGTGTTTATTCTTTGCAAGTCAAATTATTGACCAGGAAGTTCTTGAACGACAGCTGTCTGTCTCCAATACAAGTATTACCGGAGCGTCTAGAGGTATCGGGAAAGCGGTTGCCCTAGCTTTAGGCAAAGCTGGTTGTAAGATTTTGGTTAATTATGCAAGATCGTCTAATGAAGCAGAACAAGTCTGTAAACAGGTGAATCAATAGCTTAATTTCTCTTGTAATAAATTGTGAATTGTGATGGCAATCACATATAATATAATGGAAGTGACTATTTCCTTTCTGATCCAGATCGAGGAAGCAAGTGGTCAGGCACTTACATTTGAAGGAGATGTTTGAAAAGAACCAGATGTTGCATCTATGATGAAAACCGTGACCCATAATTCATTCTTCACCACTTAATTAATTCTTAGTCTAGAAAAAAAATTTAGAATTTTGTTGACATTATAATTATTACAGGCAGTTGATGCGTGGGGGACTATTGATGTATTGGTCAACAATGCAGGTTACAAAATTCTATCGCCAATCTCTCCCTAAACCCTAAACCCTTTTAATTCAGCCTCTATCAGTGCAATGATACATACAGGGATTATAAAGGGTGGTTTGTTGATGAGGATGAAGACATCTCAATGGCAGGACGTTATTGATTTGAATTTCACTGGTGTATTCCTATGTACACAGGTATATGATTATTGATTAATGATTATTCTCAAAAAGGAATACTCCAACAAGGGCATAAATGTCGGTTTATAATTTGGATATTTTTACCACTCAAATCTCTACCTGTGGTATGACTGTAGGTTGTTTATATTCATCTTTGATTACTGTGTGGTTTATAAAAAAATTATATAATTCTAAGATTAAAAGTTTGTCAATGTGGTTGTATATTGCAAACACAGGTTTTTTTTCTTACACAACTTCTTTTTTTTGTTCAAATATATGAGCCTAATCTTTATAACTTTTGTGTTTCTGTTTATATTTGGATGTGCACTTTCTATTGACAGAATCTCCTGTTGCAAAACTGCTCATATAATGTAATTCAAATGAGTATGAATTTATACTGCGAAATTATACTCCCTCTTAGTGTGTTGTCTGCAAATCCACAAGATATCATGGTATAAAGACTTCAAAATCTGAGTAATTTGAATAGTTTGTGTATGATTATTAAAGTTTGTTGTTATTTTAAAGTTTAAAGTAAGGCCCAAAACTAGAAATAGACATATATATTTTTCAATCTACACCATTTCTGTATTCAACAAGATTTCGGTAGGTCTATTTGTTTCTTTCTTGTAATTTCATTTTTTTTTAAATCACTTCTACCCTTATATGCTCTTACATTTTTTGATAGGTTTTGTTCATCGCTCTGCCAAATACCCCAGTAGGTATGTATTGGTACTATTTGAACCCCCAACCGAGTTGCAGTTCTGATATGCCTGTTTAAAGAAGGGGACGATATCAATGTCATTCTAACTCAACGATCATCGAAACTGTCATCTTACTCTGGTAAAGAAAGTCGTGGACATTAGATGTTTGATTAAATGTCTGAAAGAACTTGACATAAGTCCGTTCTGCTTTATTTTGCAGGGCAAGTATCTTTGCCAGTAGGTAGAGCCAACGAAGAGGATACAGATGATATTCAAATCGCGTTGAGGGATGCTGAAGAAGTAGAATCAATATTCTATGCTCCTTTGGAAATGTTTCTCAAGGTTTGTATTCATACTTTTTTTTCTCTCTTTAATCTTTCTTTTTATATTAAAGTGAAAAAGAAAGATGGGGTTATTTAAAAAAGTGGGATTTTGATGGATGGTGATTCAAAATGAAAATAGAGGAGAAAAAGAGTGAGAATTAAGAGGAGACAAATGCTTGCTTCACTATTTCTATCACAAAACAAACGACATCAGGGTGTATGAGATATGGGCTTTAACTGCTGGAATCTTGATAGCAGCTGCCTCCATAGTTTTTCGGTGACCACCAGAATTTCAACAAAGGATGCTAAATTTTGGAATAGAAACCACATCAAATTCTGATGTTACTGGAATCACAGTCCAATAATGAATAAACATGTCATTAGTTGAATGTAACTATGCATTGATCACAAGACTAGAATCATTGTATCCAATGTATTGAAACATACAATGTCGTGGAGATTAACTTCCAATTTTGTGTAGTTACCAAAGATTAAATTGTAAGTTTAATTGTATCAAATTAAATTTTTATGTTTCGTATATTTATTATCAATCTGCAATCATTGTATCCAATGGATTGAACTTTTGGTCATTAACTATGATAATAAAATTTGCTTACAAAAAAAAAAAAAAAAAAGAAAAATCCCGCAAGGCGGGTTTCTTCACTAGTTTTTACTATTTTTTAAATAACAATTTTTTTCAAGTTTTTATTTTTTTTAAATAAAATTTTTTATATATATTTTTAATTTTTGTTTTTTGTTTTAAATATCTATTATTATACATATATTTTTTTAGCCATCATAAAATTAAACATACAATATATTTTAAGATGCAAAAACTCCAACATTACATATATAATGTTTTTAAGGTAAAAAACACTCAACATTGTTACAAAAAAAACACCACAACTAAAAAAAATCTCCAATATTGTTTGTCACAAAAAGAAAAACACCACAATTAGTTTAAACTTGAACCTATAACAAATCTTTACCTGTAAAAAAGATAAAATAAATAAAATAAAATAAGAGAATAATCACAACAATACCATAAAAAAATACCATCTTTTTAATTATCTTGGCTTAGATGGAAATTGTATTCGATTATGACTCGGTTGCCTACAAATTCCACAAAGAGTGATATTTCTTCCTTTTTTTAATATTCATACCATTTTTTTAATCTTGTTGAACGTAGACAACCTTTTTTATTTTGTAATAGTTCTAAATTTGGAAGTAATGCATTAAATGGTGATTGTGGCCAATAAGCTTCATGAGGAAGCAGTGAGAACTCAGATGCCCAAGTAGCACTATAATATACAATCGAGTAGCATTTATCAATATATTGCCAACTATTCAAAAAGAGTTTGGCACATGCACTCATGACTTGAGAACAAGGATATTTAAATGCCTCTCGCTTACCACATGTGCAAGTTTTTTGTTTCAAATTAACTACTTGCACGTGTTTTACCTCTTTGAGTTATCATTTCAAATATACATTTTTCTCGGTTAAAAGATCTTAAGGAATATGTACTTGCTTTTACCATAAAAAATACTTGTTTTGTAACATGTGGAGTATATGGATCTCCATTGGCCTGAGAGCTAGATCCTAAAGGATGTCACACCTCAAAATAATGCACCATTCTATAGAATGTAAGTTGCATATAAGTTGTGATTGGTAAAAAACGAGCACCTTTAAGTACATTGTTAAAAATCTCTGACAAATTTGTTGTAACTCATATCTCTGTAACATCCATAAAAATTATGATAAATTTGAACTTTTTAATTACAACCCAAAACCATGAAGCGTTTACAATATAGTTTTCAAAACATTTCCGGTATCAGAGTTTTACCAAAATCATAGATCATAAACAGAGGATGTGCACGGTCACGCATTTTCCTTTTCGCGGTCATCCGAAGTACCTGAAACATAACACAAAATTGTAAGCTAATGCTTAGTGAGTTCCCCCAAAGTACCAACACATAACCAAATAACATATACGATAACTACATGTAACGAGTCCACAGCTAAAATACAGGATTACCCTTGAACCTACAACATAAGTCTAGCATGCCCTTGGGCCCACAACTTATGTATGGCTAGCTCCACAACCAAATCGGTCATCAGACTAAAATACTATCAAGCCCTCAGTACGAGTCTAACATACCGCCGAATCCTCAGCTCGTATCTGGAATGACCATGAGTCCTCATTATGAGTTTGGCATGCCCTAACCGACGCTCAGCTCATATATGGAATATTCCATGGCTTGTTGGCTACAACACGGAGCAGTATAACCTCAACCCAACCCAACATGTTCACATATAATAGATAATAACATATATAGATAATCATGCAGAAATAATCACAGGTAATCCTACAGATCTACCAGCCTAGCATATCAAGAACTAGCATAAACATGCATATCTATTCCATACTCCGCATATCAGTGAAAATCAGGATACCAATCCAATGGGATGGCCTTGGTTCCTTCGACCCGTAAGTATAGTGAGGAAAACTCACCTCACAAACTGGACAAAAGCTAATGAGGTCCCGACTCCGAATCTCAGCTCTCTAACCAACACTTATTCCAACTAAATGATCATTATCCCTTAAAATCCCAAAATACACTTAAGGTGAAACTTGGTCAAAGTCAAAGTTAAATGGTCAAACCAACTAAATCAACTAAGTCCAATCACCCAAGTCAACCCAACCGAGTCAACTCGACCAAATTGACCCAATGCGAGTATGCGGGCCGTACTCCATCCTCACATGCTGGCCACCATCGGGGTAGTTGACCTCGTATGTAGGGCGTACTCCGGGTACCCGGGGCATACTCCCAGGAACTTCAAAACTCATTAAGTCCTTATGGCTTAAGCACTTACGTCCATATTTCAGATCCATGGTTAAACTACACTCAAGAGTTATAAAGTTTCCAACTTTATGACTTTGCATGCCCATTAAGTGCTTAACTCAACTTCTTAATCCATTAAGACATTCTACAAGATGCATGGAGCAATACTAACCATTTGAAACTCATTTTTATGACTTAAGACCCCTCCTAGGTTCTGAAAGGAAAGCTTAAAGGTCAAGAACATGCTATGTTCAAGATCTAACATTTTAGGACCAAAAAGCTTCATAAAGACATCCAAATCTAGATCTATATGCTGGAGGGAGAAAGTTGCAAGCTTTAAACATTAAGAAGGTTCCAAATGATGTAAAAATCCTAAATCCAAGTGTTTCACTTGTAACATCCCAAAATTCAAGACCAAAAATTTCATTTTTAGTTTAATAATTCATAAAACTAACAATATAAAAACATCCATAAAACATCCCATGTCAAAACCAAAGTGACAATAGTCAAAACATGTTATTATAAAACAATATCAGAGTGCAATCCCAAAGATCTCATGTGCGGAAGACATAGTGTGATGCTTTGCGATCGAGCCGGCTCCTTTCCTTTGAATACGAAGTACCTGAAACCAAAACTGAAAACCGTATGCACGAATCATAGTGAGTTCCCCCATCATACCACATACATACAAATAACATACTGTCAAGCATATATGGGTGCCCGACCTGCCCCTTCGGTCTCTTTCAACCGGTAACCGCTTAGCATATTTGGGTGATGACTTACCCCTTTGGTCTCTTTCAACTAAGGACTATTTCACCCCTACCACTACCATATAATATCTTAGCATATACATAATCACATATTGCCTAGCATATCTGGGTGCTGGCCTACCCCTCCGGTCTCTTTCAACCGGTAATCGGGGACTAGTTCACCCCTACCACTACCACATAATAACATAGCATACTAGCACATAAAGCATAACAAATAGTGGAAAACCATACAATTATAACAAAGACAATCATATCAAACATAATCACCTACTGGTGGGTCGACGTTGGTGCCTTAGACCCACCTCTACTAGAAGGTAACCCACCTCACACTGCTGAAGTCCCGCAGACGAAAACTCTAACTTTTGGATGACAGGTTCTCGAACTGCCAATCATCAAAATAACACCTAATCAATAATTGGGTTCCAATACATATCCATAATTCCATGCTTAGGGTAAAAGTCTACTTTACTCACAACTTATCTTGACTCGAGCCCAAGGCCCAATCCAAAGGCCCAAAAGTCAACTATGAGTCAAAGCCCAACTTTTGGCATTTCTAATGGCCTAATATCTCATAATCATAAATGCCTAATTATGGCCCACCTATGGAAAATTGGGCTTAAAACCTGACATGGGCCTTACCCTAAAGCTCATCCATAAATTCTTAGTCTATATGATTGTTCTTGGATGACCCATTAATAGCCCGATCACCAAAGCCCAATTGAAAGGCCCAACTCAAAGCCCAAGTGAAATTAGGGTTTCACATAAAATGACGATTAGGGTTAATTGTTTATCACTTAAACCATTAAGGACTTAATCCATTCAGTCCATCACTCTACTATATAAGTCATATCGTGTGATCGGGCTTAATACATAATTCCATTCCAATGGCCCAATATGCGGGTCCCGATAGCTCCAAACCAATAATTCCAAAATTAGGGTTTTCTACCCAATCACAACCTAATTAGGCCCAATAGCTAAGTCTTTGGATCAATTAGGATTTCATTAGGTGGGTACCACCCACTACCACCTCGGGTAGTGATGGTCAATGGCGGCTCGCAGCGGCGGCCACCACCTCACGGTGGTGGTTATGGTTCTAGCCCATTTTGTCCAAGCATCCCAAATGAATCAAAATACAAACAAGGCACACCGCCACCCAACACGGCAGCTAGTGGTGGTAGCCACCACCTTACGGTGGTGGTTACGAGTTTTCCTTATTATACTATTCACTAATTACAATTTACAATGATTTAACCCAAAAATAAACACATACACTAATAGATAAACACACACACACACAACCACCCTTGTGGTGGCCGACGGTGGTTGATGGTAGCAGCCACCACCTCACGGTGGTGGTGGTGGCTATTCTCGATTTTTCGGCCAAACTACAATATACACACAAACACACCAACAACGGAAACACACCCATCCACACTTCTGTTTGCAAGCAACCAACCACCCTCCTGGTAGCATACAACGATGACAACATACTTACGAATTGTCAGCAACAGCGGTAGTTTGTGATGGCAGCGGTGGTAGGTCATAGCTGAAGTCGGGACACGGGAAGAGACAAAAAGGGTGGTGACGGATGCACACCTTGATGAAATAAACTAGCAGTGAGGTGGAAACGGTGACAGCAAGCCAGGACGATTACAG